ACGTTTTCCTCTGCCCACGAGTTGATTTCCTTCTCAAACTCCGAGTCGAAGTTGTCGTTGGTGGTGGGTGTCCCAAGTTTGCGGTAGTGCTCTACTAGTACTTCCCGCTTTCCTTTAGAACTGCTTACCATCTTACCCTCGGCAGATCCTAGTGTCGCTATTGGGGGGGGGTTGTTGGCTGCACCTGCCGTGTGAGGGCAGGCGGAACATGAACGAGCGCGGCCTGTAACACCCGCCCCTTTTCTTTCGTGCTGGTGTTGCATCCTCTCTGCTCGTATGTACTGTACCCCCTCGCCTGCTGGCCGTTTGTGTGGGTGCTGCCGGCCCTCTAGGCGAAGGCCGAGGCAGCGGAAGCCGCGACGAAAGCGAAGCAGCCGCTGAGCCACGCACAGAGGAGCCTTGCGAAGGTGAACAAGAAGGGCATGAAGAGCATCTCTAGCTTCTTCGGGAAGAAGTGACGGAGATTTTCCCCCTTCTCGCGTGGGCTCTATTTCATGGTTTCGTGCAACACACCGGAGTCATCCGATAGGCGAAGAACAAGAAGAGCGTTTCGGCATATTAAATGGGGTTGCAACGAGGTGCGCGTGGGTAACGGAAGCGTATGTTTCGGTGTTGGGGGGGGGTTGTTGTGAGGACTCCGTCCACTCTCGTAGTGCTCAAACCAAGACGACTAATCGATTTCAAACGGACGTGCGCCTGCAAGTGCGTGCACACGGTATGTTGTGGCTTCCTCGTGTTTTGACGTTGTGTTCGGCGAGGAACAGGCGCGAGAGGGATTTAACCTTGAAACGTCGAGCGACGGTGATAAATAGCGGAAAATGACTTGAGAAAAAAAAAGCGAGCATCTCTGCAGAGATCGATTTTTCTTTTCGATTGTTCCGAGTCTTTCAGAGTCGAAACGCGTTGTTCTTTCACACGTTCTTGTGTTGTGTGCGGAGGGCTAATCATTTGAATCGTGTTTACGGTACCGCACGTTCATCGCGTAGGTCAGTGCGCACTCTCATATCTCTGGATGACGTCTTGAAATAGGTCGCGTTTTCAATAAGTCTTGTGATGGTGAGAGCGGTGGTAGCTGGTTGGCTTTTTGTGCGGTACTTCGGCCGTGGGTAAAAGGAAAGGACGTTTCTTTAGGTCATCTTTCTCGGAGTGGCTGGCGCAACAGTTCCGAATCCCCTCGAAAACAAATGCGAGCAGAGTGCTTGCTTGGGGAGCATGCTTGAATCGCGGCTTCGTCAACTAGAACAGGCTGCGATGTGCGGTCGAGGATTCAGAACCCGCTGTCGAGTCTATCTATGGGCCATAAGAGCAACCGCGACCGTAGAAACAAGACAAAGGGCTATCTCATTATAGATTGCCGTGTGCCCACGGCTGCTTCTCCAATTGATTTTTTTCGCATACAGTGTGGGACCAGCAGCAATAACAACTGCAAAAACAAGCTGTAGTGTGCCCGTCCGTTCCCTGCTGCCGTGTGCCACGAACAGAAGGGAAAGCAGCAGCAGGGCATGCTTGGCATGGGTCTATTTCATTAGAAACGCCCCTCGCCTAAGGGCCGCATGTGCTTGCATACGACTGCGAAACATACACGTGAAAATGGGGTATGGCTGTTCACACAGTAGGGTTCCTCTGGGTGTGCGTATGTGTTTAGGCGTGTGTGGGGATACAACTAGAAACCGGGTACGGCTTTCCCTCGCCGCTGAGCTCTGCGATTTCTGATTTGCATGCCAGCGCCATGAATCCCAGCGCCATCGTGCTCGTTTGCGCCGTCTGTTCGGCACGGAGAAATCTACGCTCAATGCACGATTGGCTCAGGGTCCTGCACGCATGAAAGGGCGACGGCACCCCCAACATCGCAGTGCACTGCCCTATCCACATGGCGAAGGTAGAGTTCCAGGCAGGCAACAGAGAGAACTCATCGGGAACTTTGACCGCTTCAAGCGCACCTCTTGACATGTGGGGGACCGAACGCCACTTGGCGGACACCCCGCGGCCTCCATGCCATACATGCACGGAGGAAGGGTTAAGAAGCACAGGAAAAGAACGAAACCACCCCTCGTGGCTGCAAATGATTCTCTTCTCGGCTTATTGTACGGTTCCACCATCTCCGGCGAACCGATGGCCCGCGCAGCGGCCATGCTGTCTTCCAACCAGCCCTTCAATGAGCGACAACCACACTAAAACAATCAAGAGTGAAGGAATTCCCTGAGTCCCGTCATATCAGGCCGTCCAATCTGTGAGGAGTCCTAAATATTGATTCCGCAGCAAATGGACGCGTCGATGCTCTCAAGAGCAACCCTTCCTTCCCCTCCGCGGCCCGCACCCGCTGACTGGGTGTCCGCAAATCTTCTTACTTCTCGCGCACACCCAGGTATCATCATGCCCGCATCAGCGGGGGATCATTTGCCGATGCAACCACCCTGGGCAAGTCCGCAGCGTTCTCAAGCGCTCGCAGGAATGGCAAAAAAAAAAGCACGTCAAAACTCCCCCAGTTCTTGAACCGGCTGAAATTGACCCACGCTCTTCGCGTATGCGAACGATCTGTTCTCCGCGCCCCCCAATCTCCCCCGTGTCGGTCCTGGAGCAATTCCTGCCCACAACGGCCCGCCCTTTCCAGCTCCTAAAGTCATCGTTGTTTTCTATACGCCCTCCAACTTCTCGCGCTTACCCGCCCGCTTGGCGTCGAGTCGGGCCCGGTCCAAGGACTTACTGCCGTTGATGTCGGTGCTGAAGCGGTGGAGAAAAAAACGCGGGTAGAAACAGACGACGGAGAGCGGGCGCGACGTGACCCAACCGGCACATTCGGCAAGAGAAACAGGATTGAGTGAAGCGGATATCGGAAGCAAACGAATGCGAGCGGTTGGTCAAGATGTGCCCGGGTCCCAAGTGCGCACCTGGACAAATATATGCATATCATGTAAGTATACAGGCTTCGGCAGAGAAGATATCAACCTGGCACGCTGGCATGGGGTGGGTAGATAGTACGAGGAACATACCAGAAAAACAGTCCACGAAACAGAATTCGAGCTACACATACGCCGCTTTCCCCCCACTTGCGTTACACCACCGCTCCGGCCCCCCCTGCCTCTCGTTTTCTCCCGTCCTCACCCAAGTCTGACGGCGGACATGATCACCGCACCCCCGAGACACCCCGCGCACGCGTGGGAGATCTTTCCAGTCTTCAATCCCGCCGCGCCCGCAGCCATGCACGCCCCTACGGCGGAGTTGACCACGTCGTCCTTGCCCCGGACGTACTCCGATCCGCACTGATGACGTCATTGCCATGCCGCGGTTGTTGGGACCGTGTTCGTTTCCAACGAGCGTTCCAACAGTTGAAAGCATTCCCAGAAGAGGGGCGCGAGCGGTAGCGGTGGCAGCAGCGTGGCGGGGGGGCGGGGGGGGGGGGGGGGGGG